TTGGATTTGAAAACATGTGATTCCCTTCAGGAGTGGGAAATTTCTCTTTGCTTTTTCTGTTCTTTTTTTTTCTCTTTTCTTTTTTCTTTTTTTTTTGAGACAGTCTCAAGCTGTTGCCCTGGGTAGAGTGCTGTGGCGTCATAGCTCACAGAAACCTAAAAAAAAACTGTTGGGCTTAAGCGATTCTCTTACCTTGGCCTCCCAAGTGCTGGGATTACAGGCGTGAGCCGCTGAGCCCAGCTCTCTTTGCGTTTTCCTTTTTTTCCTGACAAGTTCTTACTATGTTGCCCTGGCTCGTCTCAAACTTCTAGCTTCAAGTTATATTCTGGCCCCCATTTCTCAGACTGGTAGGATTATAGGCAAGCCACCACGCCAGACTGTCTGTTTAAAAAAAAAAAAAAAGGCAATAAGGCTCAGTGCCTGCAGCTAGGGCGCCAGCCACATACTCCAGAGATGCCAGGTTCAAATCCAACCTGGGTCTCCCAAACAACAATGACAACTACAACCAAAAAATAGCTGGGTGTTGTGGTGGGCACCTGTAGTCCCAGCTACTTGGGAGCCTAAGGCAAGACAATCTCTTAAGCCCAAGAATTTGAGGTTGCCGTGACCTGTGACACTCTACCGAGGGTGACATAGTAAGACTCTATCTCAAAAAAAAAAAAAAAGGCAGTAAGATTGCCTGCAAACTCACTTCAGTAAGGCCTCTGGCTCACTTTTTGACCATTAACAACTTCCTAGATATTTTACTTTCCTTCCCCCCCCCCAAGGGAAATACCCTTCTGTTTTATCTGACTCTTAAATTATTTCTTAACCTTTCTTATGCATGTTCTTTTATGTTTGTTTAATGATTTATTATTTAGTTTGTCTCAATTTAAAACTGACTGAAGCTAATTAGATTTTATTCACAAAGGATGTTAATCTGCATAGGAGCTTCTGCTATACCAGATGCTTAGTAAATGAAAGTCTTCTCCTATTTTCTAAGTGTTTCTATCTAAGACTTGGGGTTTTATTTAATTCGTGTTCTGTTTTATTAAAGAAATTTTTTTTTTTTTGCAGTTTTTGGCCAGGGCTGGGTTTGAACCTGCCACCTCTGGCATATGGGGCAGGCGCCCTACTCCTTTGAGCCACAGGCGCCGCCCCCTATTAAAGAAATTATTTAAAGACAGTTAAGTTCTACTTGGTGTATAGGGAGATAGCACTTTTTATTTTAATACTCTAAACAAATAACTTAATTTGAACTTTTGTTTTGTTTTAAGATAGTCTTATTTTGTTAACCTCAGTAGAGTGCTATGGTGTCATTGATCACAGCAGCCTCAAATTCTTGGGCTCATGTGAGTCTCTTGCCTCAGCCTCCCAAGTATCTGAGACTACAAATGCCCGCTACAACACCTGCCTATTTTTAGAGGCAGGAGTTTCACTCTTACTCTGGCTGGTCTCAAACCTGTGAGCTCAGGCAATCCACCTGCCTCAGTCCCCCAGAGTGCTAGGGTAACAGGCCTGAGCCACTGTGCCTGGCCTGATTTGAACTAATTTGAACTTCATTTGACCTGAGTTTTTAAAAGTAAATTTGCACTTAGACTTAGCCACTCGATGGCTAATTGAATTAGCATAGTCGTGTCATAGATCTACCTATTACATGATGTATATGTAATCTACGTATATGTAATCTACATCATGTAATAGGTAGTTTTCTAAGGATATTTAAGGAAATTATCCAGATGGGTATATGGATAACAAAACCAGGGAATCTTTAATCTGAACAGCAAGCACTTGGCTCCCCTATCTCCTGGCCCATTAGAAATTGGAACTAAATTATCATTTGTGTTGCTTTTGGTAGAGGATATGGTTCAGTCCAGTTGATGGGTAAAAAGAGATCTGACTATGCAAAGCAGGGTTAGTAGACTCGGGGATCTGTATATAGCAGTAGTTCTCAACCTATGTATGGGTCATGACCCCTTTGGGGTTGAACGACCCTTTCAGAGGGGTCACCTAAACACATCCTGCATATCAGATATTTACATTATGATTCATAACAGTAGCAAAATTACAGTTATGAAGTAGCAACGAAAATAATTTTATGATTGGGGGTCACCACAACATGAGGAACTGCATTAAAGGGTTGTGGCATTAAGGAGGGTTGAGAACCACTGGTATATTGCTAAATGCACTGGCATCTTTTTAATCTGGTTCCTGAGATGACTTACTGTATAATTTAATGTTCAGACTAAGACACTTAGGAGAGTGAAAGTGAGTACTATTAATAATTGCCCTGGGGCAGTGGGCATAAATTAGAGCATATGGTCATTCCTAAGTCACATGGACTTTGGGGATTAGGATCAGTGGTGGTAAAAGTCAAAATGTCTGCTTGGTTGACTTGACACTCCCATTCCTAATTTTTGTCCTATAGGACAAATTTTGTAGACCAAGAAATGTGGACAGAAAATGGATGAGTAGTGGTGGAATGAATACAGAAAGAGTATAGGAATTCAATATTTATCTGAATTTATACATAACCAGTATTCCTCTTGTGCAGTGTAGTCTGGATATATAAAACCCTTTTTTTTGTTTGTTTTTGCAGTTTTTGGCCAAGGTTGTGTTTGAACCCACCACCTCCGGCATATGGGGCTGGCTACTGTAGCTCAAGTGGCTAAGGTGCCAGCCTCATACTCCAGAGCTGACAGGTTCGAATCCAGCCCAGGCCTGCCAAACAATGACAACTACAACCAAAAAATAGCTAGGTGTTGATAAATAAAAATAAAATCTTAACCCAGTAGTACACGTGAAAAACAAGTTTCACAGGTGTATTTATAATTTAAGTGCTGTATAATCTTTCACTTCTAGGAATTTTGAAGAAATATAACATGTTATTGGCATTTTCTCTTAAGGATATGGAATTATTTATAGAAAATTTTAATCCAAATTAATTTTCCACTAACATTAATTAATTTATATTTAATCCAGATGTAAATTTTCCTTTTCCTGACTTATTGGCATATATGTAGAAAATTCTGATTTTATTCCAAATCAAAATTATAAGTTTCTTTACATTTCATTCTAAGTTGTTGTTTTTTGTTTTGTTTTTCTTTTTCATATTGGGCCGCCACCCTGTAACTTCCATCTATTGGTTCTAGTCATGTTCTGTGGAGCAGCACAGAGTGTCTTCTATTTCAAGGCAGCTGTCACCTTTTCTAGACTGAATTCTCCAGCTCCTCCTCTTTTTACATGAAATAAAACCCATTATCTACAAGCTTTAGTTTGATTTCATACAGACACAGCCTAGTTTATCAGTGTTTTCTATAACACAGTTAAAATATGGTCCAAAACTTTAATTTTGTACCATGAATCTATGGTAATACACATACCAGTACAAAGCACCCTGTGCTATAACCCACGAATCAGATATTCTGGTTTATTAGTGCAGCTTTGGCTTTTTTTTTTTCTTCTTAGCTATTCTTAACTGTTGGCACATATTAAAAGTTGTGGTCAGCTAAAACCTGTTAGCTAAATAACTGTTGGGGCTGTCCTTTTTTTAGAAGGTGTTTCTGCTTTAGTGCAATGGAGCTTTAGCAAGTGGAATTGAGTGTATTACTCAGAGAACCTAGAACAAGAAATACATTTTCATATGCTAAATTCTGTAGGCTTTTCCTTATATATGACTTTAAACAATTTAAGTTAAACACATTACTCTTTAGGTACTTTAGGTGGATATTCACTTGATCACTGTTTTGGGAAAAAAATTTTCCTGTTTAAGGTTGGTTATACAGTAGAACCTCCATAGTTGACCATGTCTCTGGATTGACCATCTCCTTAAGTTGAAGTCTTAACTTTGTCACCCGTGGTAGACTGCTGTGGCATCATGGCTCACAGCAACCTCCAGCTCTTGGGCTTAGGTGATTCTCTTGCCTCAGCTTCCTGAGTAGTTGGGACTATAGGCTCCCGCCACAACGCCCAGCTATTTTTTTGTTGCAGTTTGGCCAGGGCTGGGTTTGAACCCACCACCCTCGGTATATGGGGCTGGCGCCCTGCTCATTGAGCCACAGGCACCGCCCAACTTGTCCTAACTTTCATAAACCAGACATGCACCACATGAACTCAAAGGAAGTTCCTTACGTTGACCAGTTTGTTATAGTTCCTTGGATGGTCAACTTACAGAGGTTGCAAAGTATTCAACTTAGGTCTTTTATAACATATAGAAATATGTTTTTAAGAGAAAAGTAAATTTATATAATCAAATGCTGGCTAAAAGCTAGAAAATTTACCTAAAATAATAGATATTTCATTGTAAGTTTGTACCCTAGAGCAAGACACTTCAACTTCAGCACTGTCTACAGATATACTTAGTTAATTCTCTGTTGTGGAGGGCTGTTCTATGCATTGAAGGATATGTGATGATATCTCTGGCCTCTTGTCCACTAGATGCCAGTAGCACATGTTACCACCACCTTCTTGGCAGTTTAATCATCAAAATTATCTCTAGATAATAGCCGTATGTCCTCTGGGGGCAATATCTCCACTAGTTAGAACCACTGTCTTAGAATAGCAGAAATGCTTTTTGAATCAACTGATCAATGGTTTCTACCTTAAATGTTTTCTATAATTGGGGTTAAAATACACAGATACAGTATTTTTCTTATGCTTTTTTGTAGAGATGTTTTAAATTATAGAACATAATAAAGAAGTTTGTTATATGCATACAATAGTTTTGTAAATTTGTTATCCCAGTTTGTCATCAGTTGCTTTGCGGTATGATCCGTGACCTGAAACAATATATATGCCTATATAATGTATGTGTATTAAGATTAAGGGAGAAAAATTACAGAATAATAAATACAATATTGAGTAGGAGGTTGATTGAGTTTAATTAAATACTTGGCCTTTTGTAGTCCATGATTATATTACACATTAAAAACAAATATGCTTTTTGGTTAATAACTTTTCATTCAAGTTATTTATTCCTGGATTTTAAAATTCTTTTATATTTATTCTTCTCCACAATGTAGCCAGCAGCCAGCTTCGGGTGTAGCCTATTCTCATCCAACTACAGTTGCTAGCTACACTGTCCATCAGGCTCCAGTGGCTGCTCACACAGTTACTGCTGCTTATGCACCAGCAGCCGCCACAGTTGCAGTTGCCAGGCCTGCTCCAGTAGCTGTGGCAGCTGCTGCAACAGCTGCTGCTTACGGAGGCTACCCTACTGCGCACACAGCAACTGACTATGGTTATACCCAGAGGCAGCAAGAAGCACCACCACCGCCACCTCCAGCTACTACACAAAACTACCAGGTAAGAAAACTACTGTTCCCAACATCCTTAATATGCAGGCTTCAGTGGCCTCACTGTGTAATGCAGGCATGCTCAAACTATGGCCCGCTTAGGACATTTATCCTGCCCGGGTGTTTTTGCTGCTGCTGCCTGTCCTGCTTAGCAGCTAACTCATCCCGGGGCCCGCAGTCCGGCCCTCCAGCAGTCTGAGGGACAGTGAACTGGCCCCTTGTTTATAAAGTTCGAGGACACCTGGTGTAATGTAATGCTCAAACAAGTGCTTCTCAGACTGAGTCTTTCAAAATATACAAGGGCTGGCCAGAAAGTATCCAGAGATGTATATCTTTTTCACATTACATGTTTGGATACTTTCTGGACATCCCTATACATCTAGTGATGGAAGGGACATAGTCCAACAGTTTAAGGTCTTTTGCAGTGAGCTTTATATTCTCCCTCCTTTCTCCTGTCTGTTTCATTGTATTATATATACCTATGTTTAATTTTTAAAAGGTTTTATGTGAATTCCTGGATAAATAATTTAACCTTAATTTTTAAAACAAATTAAGACAGAAAAGATGTCCCTTGTTTGTACTATGGCATTGTTTATCCATTTGAAACACAAGTATCCTATTTTGAGAATTCTGAGCTTAAACTGTAGGGCAAACATATTACATATATTCTTGAAACTTAACCAAAGTTAGAAATTCTATTGCCTGTACATTTATCCTGTCAAGATGTTCTTTTTTAGTATATAGTATAACAAATAGTAATTATGGCTTTTATTCATCCAGTTGCCTCTTGTTTAGTCTTATGGGAATTATAAATTCTCTTTACAGTGTTATATTTTAAAACAATACTAGTTTACTACTTATAGATAAATTTGGTCTTAATTTCTTCAATCCATTTCTTACTGGTTTGCTTTTAGGGTCTGTATTTTAAACGTAGATCCTTTTGGGCTTTCCCTGTTTTTTTACATTCTTTCTAAAGCGTAAGAATTTACTTTGTGAAGAAAGAAATTGAAATATAAATTAACAGTATTAGTATTTGCTATTAATTTTTGGGAAATTACTAAACTTAGAATTACTTTTTGTGATGTGATTATGTTTCATTATGTCCAGAGATAGAATATGATAAATTTTATTGTTTTTAATAGGATCTATGAAACCCATCATTTTCTGCGTCCTGCCTTGCTTCTTCAGCTCTTCTACCTATATACCTTTCCACCTCTCTTTACCTTATGCAGTGCCAGAATTCATCCAGCTCACCTTGATCTTTCTTGAAAAAAAGAAACAATGAGAAGAGGCTGAGTAATGATGAACCTTAGTTAACATCCAGATTTTTTTTTTCTAATATTGTAGGATCTATCTTTAAAGCAAAACTGCCGTGAATTTTTAATAAAATCAATTTTTGTTTTTTGTTTTGTTTTGTTTTTTGAGACAGAATCTCACTTTGTCACCCCCTGGTAGAGGCCATGGGGTCATCACTCACAGCAAGCTTAGACTCTTGGGCTCAAGCAATCCTCTTTTTTTAGCCTCCCAAGTAGCTAGAACTACAGGCGCCCACCACAATGCCTGGTCTTGCTCTAGCTCTTAAACTCTTGAACTCTTGAGCTCAGGCAATCCACCCGCATTCAACCCCAGTAAAATCAATTTTTACTTAAGTAGTATTTTTAAATGTTTCAGTGATCGATTTGATTAGAAGAGTTAAACATGCTGGCTGAAATGCTTTTGTTCTTACTTGATAAACTCTGGAAAAAATCCTGTTTGTATTAAATTTGATACCTTATGTTTAGGTCTGATTGATATAAAACTACATATTTAGGGTAGTACCTATGGCTCAGTGAGTAGGGTGCCGGCCACATATACTGGAAGTGGCAGGCTCAAACCCGACCCCGGCCAAAAACTGCAAAAAAAACTACCGTGCCAGTATCCTAAGTGCTGGCTAGAGGGTCATATGTCAGTAAAACTGACTTGACAAATTTGTCCCTGCTCACACCCCAGATCAGTTGTTTGTTATTATTACTGCTTCCCAGCCAATCAACAATTCACCATCCAGATTTAACAGCTGGTAAACACCTGTAAAGAACAGGATGTTCTATTTAGTTTTTTGCATTCCTTTTTTCACATAATAATGATTATGTGATTTTTTATAATAATGATTTTTTTTTCCCTGTTACTTGTCTCAGCAAGACTTTCTCTCATTCCTTTTCTTTAGGACTCATACTCGTATGTAAGATCCACAGCTCCTGCTGTAGCTTATGATAGTAAGCAGTACTACCAACAACCAACAGCAACTGCTGCTGCTGTAGCTGCTGCTGCCCAGCCTCAGCCTTCTGTTGCTGAAACCTACTATCAAACAGGTAGGTTTTATTAACATTTCATTATAAACTATTAAAGTACATGATTTGCGGCATTTTTTATGAAGATACACTTTTGAGTCTACCTAAGCTCATAATGTTTTGTCACCTTGAGAAGCAGGTTCTAGCCATGTCCTTCTCTTCCTCTACTAGAATACCTTTGCATCACAAAGAGGGAGAAGGCTGTGGCAGCAATCTATGATCAAGTTGTTCTTCCTAGAAATGTATTCCATTTCTAGACTTTCAATCTACAGTTTCTTCCTGCTGAAATCAGCTATACAAAAGAAGCTGGGACGATACCTTTTGACCACATTGTTATCTTTGCCAGAAATGTCCAGAATATATTTTGTTGCTAGCTGCCTTTGTAACTGGTAGAAACTATTCATTGGGCCATATTTTTAATTCATATGATCTATAATGACGGTTTGTTTCTGTTACAAGCCACCTATAATGTTAAATACAGTATTCAGAATGGTCCAAGTGCAGGGAATGTTTTGTTTGCAAAAAAGCCTGCATATTTGTAGATTTTAAAAGGTAGATTTTGACTGTATGTGGTGGCTCGTGCCTGGGATCCCAGCAATTTGGGAGACCAGGGCAGGAGTATTGTTTGAGGCCAGGAGTTTGATGCCAGGCAACACAGCAAGCCCCCATCTCTACAAAAAAAATCTAAAAATTAGCCGGGCGCAGTGGTGCGCACCTGTAGAACCAGCCTCCTGGGAGCTGAGGCAGGAGGATCACTTAAGCCCAGAGGCTGGAGGCTGCAGTGAGCTCATGGCACTGCACTACGGCGTGGTTGAGTAAGAAGACCTTGTCTCTTTAATGAAAAAGAAGAAAAGATTTTTTTTTTTTTTTTTTTTGGGAAGAGATTTGAGAACTTTTAAAACAAACCTCTCTGAGTTTTGGAAAGTGGGCAACTTGTTTGATTATTTTTGAAGGACCTGAGGGTATATGTAGAGCCTTGGATTAGGAGAGATTAGGTCTGGCTTACAGTACTGGCTTTCCCACTAACGAGGGCAAGTAATTTTGACCTCTCTTCATCTGCATTCTGTTATCTGTAAAATGAAGTTGTTTCAGATCTCTCTAGATTCCCTTCTAGTTCTAAGATTTTATGAGTCCCTTAAAAGTGGTTTTAAAATATTTCGAATAATAATGACTTTTCTTAATGATCTCCATCAACTTGTGTATAAAATAATCTATAGGGAACTTCCTTGTTAATTGCCAAGCTTTAAGCATTGTTGTGCTTAAGAGTGCATAACATAGATTCAGAAGATCCTATTTTAGCCTAAGTTCTGATATTGACTATGTGACTTTTATAAGTCATTTAACTCTTAAATACGTATTAGTCTCCCCCATAAAATAATCGTCTCTATTTAGTGGATAAAATTTCATAAGCAGATACAGATTAAAGCTCTACGGTATCTTAACTGAGCATAAACTGAATTTGGCCTCCTATTATCTCTAATTTCTTAGAAATTACATTTATGTGTTTTAATGATCATTAATTACTATCAATTATTTAATTGATTAATTCAGTGATTGATGGTAAGCTTTGTAAGGTTCTTTGGAAGTACATTGTTTTAAATATGGTCAAAGGTAGCAGAGACATTAATGGTAGCCATTTAAGAATAAATATATACAAGCTATCGATATTCAACAGATTAAGTCAATAGCACTTTATCAGTTAGGATTAGATTGACATGTACTATGGCTAAATCAGTAAAATGTAATAAAATAAAATGTAATAAGTGGTATATGAACAATTTCCACATAATTAAACATTGAACTTTTTACTGTGAATTGAAATACATACTTTGAGTTTCTCTCCCTTTTGCTTCCAGCTTTAAGCCTGACTCACAAGTAAACTGACTAGCCTAAACACAATACACCCTTTTTCACAAAAACATTTTATTTTTACCAGTTGTAAGTAGTATTACTATTTCACTTAGTTGTAAATTTTGCCAAAATATCATTTTGGAAATATGTAGAAAACATTTAGGAAAAGATAGTAAATTAATTTACTTATTTTGTTTTTGTTGGTAATGAGAATTTTACCCCTTTTGCCAAGAGGAAATTGTTGGCATAATATCTGTAGTTAATGATGTTTAGACCTGTTCTTTCCAGTTTTTAAGGATATTGGTACGGTGACAATAGTGGCTTACTCTTCTAATTTTTTGATGTCTCTTTCCCACTTTAGCCCCCAAAGCAGGTTATAGCCAAGGTGCAACTCAGTATACTCAAGCCCAGCAAACTCGACAAGTGACAGCCATAAAACCAGCCACACCAAGTCCAGCTACCACTACTTTCTCCATTTATCCTGTATCCTCCACCGTACAGCCAGTAGCAGCTGCGGCTACTGTGGTGCCATCCTATACTCAGAGTGCTACTTATAGTACCACAGCAGTTACTTATTCTGGTAAGGCTGATAAACTGTGTTTAAATAAGTAAATAAATTAGAGACTTTAGAAACTGTCTTGATTTTCTGCAGAATTATTTTACTCCCAAGAACAGGAATTAAATTAATTGATAGGTGTTAATATAAATATATGTGCATAATGTGACAAATGGGGCCATACTGTAAGTTGTATGCTTTTTTTTAAAAAAAGAAAACCCAAAAACCCAAGATCTTGGCAAAACATAAAATTATAAAATATTCTTCGGGGATTTGAAAGCTAATTATGATTCTTAGGCCTAGAATTGTAATTCGAGGAAATAACTACCTGTCCTGTATAAGATCTTTTCCCTTTTGACTTTTGCCAAATAAATTTGAAAACTCAAGGTTGACACTCAGGGAATACTACACATTTATTTAGGCCCTTCAAGAGCTATTTCTTTATATTTATTATTAGGGATAAGCAATCATAAAAGTACTGGGTAGTCTTTTTAAACGTTCATAAGCCGGTGGTTATGTAACGTACCTCTTAAAAGGACAGAGTAGCTTTATTTTCCTTAAATAATTAAGTATTTCCCTTAGAGAGGTATGATCACTAAACCTTATTCTATCACACTACTCTTGCTCATTTCCTGCTTAGGTAGTTCACAGTATTCTGGTGATTAAAATCACACATATCTTTTTTTTTTAATAGATACTCCACTTTGTACTGCTGTAAGATTTTATTGTTGGTTTGCATTTTATTTATTCCTTAATACTAACTATCTTGTTCCATGGAGCATTTAAGGTGGCATGGGCAATTTTAGTTCTTCTTTTTTTTAAGAGACAAGATCTCGCTGTGTTGCCCAGAGTGGAGTGCAATAGTTGTTTACAGGCACAGTCCCACTACTGTTTAAGCACAGTTGTTTTGACCTGCTCCATTTCTGACCTGGGCCAGTTTGTCCCTCTTTAGGCAATCTGGTGGTCCCTGGCTTCTGGGGTATCACATATCAATGCCAAACTTAGTGGAGACACCTGATCAGCATAATGCACTACAACCTAAGCTCCTGGGCTCTAGTGATCCTCCTGCCTCAGCCTCCCAAGTAAGCTGGGAGTATAGGTATGTGCTCCTGTACCTGGCCAGTTCTTACCTCTTAATACTTTATTTATTTTTCAGAAGATAAGCCACAAATGACACTTTATTTCTCAGAGATTTCTTATCTCTTACTCTAGGGTGTTAGGGAGACAGTCATGAACTAGGTAGGCATGCAGTGTTTGGGAACAGCTGTTTGTTGTTCTGGAATACAGGATATGCAGGGTAAATATCAGGAGGTAAGTGGAGAAATGTCAGTGTGTAAAGCTGTATATACTCTGCTGTGGTATTATCTGTCTTTATCATATGGGCACAAAGGACACCACAGAGGAGATCTTAAGCAATGGAGCAGTGGAAGCGAGCAGATTTGTAAGTTATCTGACAACCACTTGGAAATGAACTGGAGTGAGACATCGATTTCTGAGAATTGCAATTGGACTGGTGAATGTCGAGAACCTGATCAAAGAGATGAGGGTAGAAGGGCTTTTTATAATCTATTAAAGACGGAGTCAAGGATATTTCCTATTTAGGAAAGAAATCTTTTGTTAAGATCTCAAGAAACTGTTAAATTTATTACTATTTCTAGACCTATCATTTCAGATTTCCCAGATACAGCTTTTCTGGCCATCTCTTGTCTGGTTGATGAGCTATAATTATAACCAGGATTAGTGCAGCGAAATCTGATTTTCATTTAACTTAATTTTTTTTAAATGTCTATATTAGCTTTAACAAAACAGAAGGTACCAGAAGCCTTTCCTATTCGTTATTTTTGTCTTACTTGCACTTCCTCTCCTTTGTCTCACACATGGCTATTTCTCTCTGGTTGTTTACACAGTATGGAAAAAAACTTTTTTTTTTTTTTTTTTGGCAGTTTTTGACCAGGGCAGGGCCAGTTTTTGGCAGTTTTTGGCCAGGGCTGCATTTGAACCCGTCACCTCTGGTATATGTGGCCACTCCTTTGAGCCACAGGCACCCGTATGAGAATATTTTTTACTTACTGCCTTACTACATGAGTAACAGATCATTACTTTAAACTTTAGAAACTGTAGATACAGAAAAAAGGTTAAACCACTAGATATTTACCCCTGGACACTAACTTTCATTAACATTTTAGTGCATGTCTTTATACTTTCATAGAATATGCATATATAAATATCATAGTTTTTTTATAAAAATGAATTTATCTTTTTCATGCAATTATGCAAACTCCTTTCTTCTCATTGTGAATGTTCTTTTCATGCCAAAAATATGGAGTTATATCATTCCTTTGATTGTTTTTCCCCAACTTTTTATCTCACCTTTCTCTTAAAACCTGTTTTCAAGTGCGTTCTGCAATATATTTTGTAAGTTGTAGAAAACCTGGTACTTTGCCTCAAATTCCTCAGAATGTATTTTCTAAGAATAAGGATGTTATTTTATGTAGCCACAATGTCATTATAAAAAGGAATTGAACATATAAACTATCTGATATGTAAGTTTCCCCATATGTCAAAAAATGTCTTTTATGGCCGGGTTTTATATTTGGTATATATGTGTTCGTGTTTGTGCTTTGTTTTAAATTTATGGTCCAGTCAAAGGTCATGAATTGTATTTAGCTGTTATACCTTGTCAATTTCCTTTAGTACAACCCCTTCTTTTTATTTTGTATAGTGTGTTTTTTTTTGAGAGAGTCTCACTTTGTTGCCCTCAGTAGGGTGCCATGGCATCACAGCAACCTCGAAATCCTGGGCTTTTAAGCAACTTTCCTGCCTCAGCCTCCCAAGGCCTACAGGCGCCCGCCACAACACCCACCCATTTTTTGTTCCAGTTGTCACTGTTTTTAGCTGGCCTGGACCAGGTTCAAACCCGCCAGCCTCAGCATATGTGGCTGGCGCCATAACCACTGTACTATAGGCACCAAGCCTCATGATACATTTTTTAAGAGCTCAGGCCATTTGTAGAATGTGCCACAATTTGATTTATCTGATGATTTATATTAGATTTAGGCAATTTTTAAAGAAAGAATAGTTTTCTATTTCATAACATGAGAAGCACATAGTAATATCAACTTCTTATTGATGATGCCTTCACTAGTTAAAGTGGTGTCTTCCATCTCTCCATTATAAAGATAGCTTTTCCCTTTGTAATTAACAAGTGATCTGTGGGCCTGTTGCCCACTTACCTTCCACCTTATGCTATTAGATTTTTTTGAAAATCTCTTAACTGAATGAATTTTTATGATGATAGTTGCAAAATCATTGATTCTTAGGCATTCTTCTCTAAAGAAGAGTCCCCTTTTCTCACTTCTTTTTTGATATTGGTATGGATGCATTCTTTTTTATTCAAGGTACAATTGTCCTATATCCATGTGGAATTGGTTCCAGGACTACTGTGGATACCAAAATCCTCAGATGCTTGATTCCCTTATATAAAGTAGTGGCCAAGTATTTGCATATAACTTACACATATTCTCTTGTATGTACTTTAAGTCATATCTAGATTACTAATAATACCTAATACAATGTAAATGCTTTATAAATAGATGATACACTGTGTTGAATATTTTCATTTTTATTTTTGACTCCTCCTCCCCCAGTGATTAATTTTTTTAATCCACGGTTGGTTGAATCCTTAGATGTAGAGAACCCATGAATATGGAGGACTGACTGTATTTATAATCCATTACTCTCATTTCTTCTTTCAGGCTCACATTGTTCCACTTTGGCCAGTGAGATCCTTTTCATGTCAGCTCCTGAGTTTTTTTGACATGTCCTCAATAGTTTTTGAGCACGTCTTTCCTTTTTGGCATTGTAAATTGTACAGATAAACTTTGAGCTTTCCCTGCCCTGGACTCATAATCAACCATTTCACAAAGGAGCCTTGGTTTCTTATAAATTCCAATGACATTTAGAAGCCATTTTAATGGTCATATAATATTTTATTGTATGGATGTCCTATATGTTAAAAAGTGTGTACTTGGGAACATTTCATTGTATATTAGAGAAAAACTAGAAATAGCACTGGGTAGAACAATCCATATATGTAAAGATGCGTGCATTCGTTCAGTTCTTTTCCCTAGGATAAAGGCCTAGATATGGAACGATTAATTTTTAAAGATTATGTGAGGCACAGCACAAAATGGCAATCCAGAGAAATCATTGTTAAGGCTTAGAGTTCTATATCTAATTTTTGGCAGTTACAACTTAGGTCAGCTGTTCTTTTTTCTCTGATTAAAATGAGGAGTTCAGAATATTGCTGCCTACTAAATGGTGATTTATATCATGATGGATTTGCTGCTGAAATGATATGTTTTTATTTCTGATATTGTGCCTTTAAAAATATTTCAACATTTCTAACAGTGTAACCTAGTAATTGATAAGCATTTTTCAATTAGTTTTCAATTTTTCAATTGAAACTAATTTTTCAATTGAACTAATTTTTCAATTAGTTTTTCAGTTTTGTTTTTCATTTTTGAGACAGAATCTCATTTTGTCCCTCTGGGTAGAGTGTGGTGGCCTCATAGCTCACAGCAACCTCAAAAACTCCTGAGCTCAGGCTCAGTGCCTATGGCTCAAGTGGCTAAGGCGCCAGCCACATACACCTAAGGTGGCGAGTTCGAATCCAGCCCGGGCCTACCAAACGACAATGACAACTGCCACCAAAAAACAGCCAGGTGTTGTGGCGGGCGCCTGTGGTCCCAGCTACTTGGGAGGCTGAGGCAGGAGACTCGCTTGAGCCCAGGAATTGGAGGTTGCTGTGAGCTGTGATGCCACAGCACTCTACCCAGGGGGACAGCTTGAGGCTCTGTCTCAAAAAAAAAAAAAAAAACAACTCCTGAGCTCAAACAATCCTCTTGCCTCAGCCTCCTGAGTAGGTGGGACTACAGCCATCCACCACAGCACCCAGCTATTTTTTTTCTTTTTTAGAGACAGAGTCTTGCTCTTGCTTAGGCTGTCTGGAACTCCTGAGCTCAAGCAATCCACCCTCCTTAGCCTTTCAGAATGCTAGGATTCCAGGCGTGAGCCACCGCGCCCAGCCTTAATCAAAGTACTTTTGAGTGAAGCTATTTTAGTTTCCAAAACTTGAGCTTTTATTTAACTTACAGGTAAAGCCTGTATTTCTCTCCTACAATGCTCTTACAAGAGTATATTTGTTTGCTTGTGGTCATAAGAGAACTTAGGTATTCTTTAACAGAGTTCCAGAATCTTTAGCCCACTCAATAATGCATGTTTTGATTTTTTTAAACAAAGTAGTAAGCTGTAATTAAACTTGCCTTTTATTAGTTTTAGACTACCTGTGTGCAGATGGAGATTATTTTATAAATAGTAACCTTAACCTGGTAATTTTTGTGCATTTAGTTTAATGTTTAAAGGATCTCACAGTTTCTAATCTTTCGTTTTCTGATCTATAAAATAAGGATAGTAAGATTTATTTTCACCTGTGTTGCACATCAGTTCTGAAAACTACACTGCGCATAGCACATTCATTCTCATACTATGAACTCTTAGTTTCTTATTTCTTTTTTTTTTCTTTTTTGTTACAGTTTGGCTGGGCTGGGTTCGAACCTGCCACCCTCAGTTTATGGGGCCAGCGCCCTACTCACTGAGCCACAGGCACCGCCCTGAACTCTTAGTTTTAAAAAAACTAAAAGACCTAGTCTTCTGGCATTGTTAGCATCTTGCCCTTATCTCATGTTTTTTTCCCCTTTCATGTATAATTAATAAAGTTATATTGTAAGTGGCATTTTTATAGCTTCTAAAATTCTAAAAGAACTAAAGTCATTTGTAAAATGTCTGTTAGAAAGATTTCCTATAAAAATTATGGTCCCATAAGTTAAGATGTATATGGGAAGCCTTGGGAAAATAAATAAATAAATAAAATAAAAAATAAAAATCATGGTCCGCATCAGTAATCATCTAAAAACAGCATTATTATTTTTAATTGGACATTTTATGGTATTTCTTTATAGTGAAATTCAAACTATTTGTGTGTTTGCCTATAAATTTAGAAAGCATTTTGTCTGTGAGTTTGATTATGTTCTTTTATCACATTCTTAAGTAAAAGAGGACATTTGTATGACTGCCCAGTATTAAGTTTATTGATCTGTAGAATTTTTCTTTTAACTAGTTTTGTTTTTTGATTTTTTTAAAATTTGATTGTGTTCTTATCATAGAGATAAGTCTCTCTACTTTCATTTCAGATACTTTCTTGTCTGTTCCATACTTTCTATCTTAAAACTTCAAATTTATATACTCTAATAACCTGATATAAAAGTCTAGAAAAGTATTCCTCAAAACTTGTTAGACTCCTTTCTCTCTAGATATGTTTAGTTCCAGATTTCTGTGATTGTGATTTTCCATGTATCTTAGCTCTTACCCTTCAAATTCATGTTTTCTTCTTTATGTATAAAGATTTATTGGAATTAGTGCAAAATAAAGATTTTCAGTATAGCAGTCTGTATTTGAGAGACCACCTTTACTAAACAATTAGCATTCCTTAAATAGTTCTTCTGTGCCATCCTGGCAACTAAGAACTGCTCTTGAGCCTTGTATCATTCTGTGCCCACCCATTACTACTTATAGGAATAAAGAAGTCTCTGAAATGTTTGTCATATTTCCAGAGATCTTAGTTTAAAAGTGGTAAGTTTTTATTTTCAGATAGGCTTAGGTGTCAAATCAGCAACTTTAGGCCAGGCATGGTGGGTCACACCTGTAATTCTAACACTCTGGGAGGTGAAGGCAGAAGGACCCCTTGAGCTCAGGAGTTTGAGACCAGCCTGAGCAAGAGTGAGACCTCATCTTTACTAAAAATAGAAAAATTAGCCAACCATTGCAATGTGCTTCTATAGTCCCAGCTACTCGGACACTGAGCCCAAATAAATAAATAAAATCAGCAACTATGTCAAAATATTTGAAAACGTTTTATTTCATTTCTAAATCACTCAACATACGTATCATTAGCTAACATGTACTTATTCTGTGGAGACACTGACAGTGGAAATATATCAAATCCTTACATTTAACCAGAAAACAGTGCTTTTTCATCTTTTGGAAGGTGAGAACCAGTGTGTTAGTCCTTAATTCCAAAATCTTTGAACAGTTGTCCTGTTCATCAGAACTCCAGCTTCATATCACAAACTTAAGCTAAGCTTTATTTACTTTGCCTCCCCAAACTAGCTTCTGTCACCTTCTTGCTTTTATCAGTTATACAACCCATCAGATAATCAGTGGGGCTCAATCGTGGTGTTATCTTTGTATACCTTTTTCTTCTTTTATCCTTTTAGCCACCAAACATGTCAAATATTACTTTCATGGTTTTTGTTTTTCCTATCTAGCATCCTACTTGAGATTCTTCCTAAAATTCAACACTTCTCATTGTGTTCTGATGATTTTTGCATGTGGGGAATTAATATATTCTATCACCATACAAGTTTGTCATTCTGTCACATCCCGCCAACTGAACTAAATTTCTCTAAAGCAGAGACTAAATCTTCTGTTTTCTTTATACTTCTATAACAGTAACACCTGGCATATGTTGAATACTTATTGAGTGACTAGAAAAGGAAGGTGAGATTTTTTCTGGGTTCTCTTAGATATACATTATTTGTAAATATGCACGAGTAAATATAACATTATTGTAGGATTTATGGAATTTAAATTTGTAACTAACAACTTGTCTTTCTGTAATTATGTAACATAATTTTTGTTTGATTTTATTTGTAAGGTACGTCTTATTCAGGTTATGAAGCAGCAGTGTATTCAGCTGCATCTTCGTACTATCAACAGCAGCAGCAGCAACAGAAACAGGCGGCAGCAGCAGCTGCTGCTGCTGCTGCTACAGCTGCCTGGACAGGGACCACCTTTACTAAAAAAGCACCATTCCAAAATAAACAACTGAAACCAAAACAGCCTCCCAAACCACCCCAGATTCACTATTGTGACGTTTGTAAGATCAGCTGTGCTGGACCACAGGTACTTACGTTGTATGTTAAACCATGAGTCATCACTCGTTATTTTTGATAGTTAAGTATGGTTGATATTCTAACTCTTGTGTCTACAGAGAAGTTTACATTTTCTTTCCTATTAGCTTTCAGCCAGTGCACATATATTTTGTTAAATACTCATTTTTAAACTAATTTTATTAAGATATGAGAATTGTATTCAGGAAAAAAAATAGTAAAAATGTAAATGATAAATGGGCAAATTGAGCTTTTGGGGGGAAAAAGACTTTGCTCTTTGAATAAAGGTTCAATTTAGTTTAAAAGTTTTATAGTCAAATTAATTGGGATTTGGGCATAAGATTGAGTTTTCATTTCTTTTTAGCATCTATAACTTTGTAAAGCCTTTACTATACAAAATTCTCCAACTTAAGATAATTGCTTATAATTTTCAGGATTGTATTTCTAATGAGACTGACTTTTCTATATGCTGTATAGAATATGACTTATTTCTGTGACCTCTTCCACGAGAGGAAAAGGTACTGTGGGAACAAGAAATGTGTAAGGAAGTGCCTTTTTCGAAAATAATCAACTAATGAAGCATACAAGACCTTTCTTTCTTTTTTTTTTTTTTTTTTTGAGACAGAGCCTAAAGCTGTCCCCCTGGGTACAGTGCCATGGCATCACAGCTCACAGCAACCTCCAACTCCTGGGCTCAAGCGAGTCTCCTGCCTCTGCCTCCCAAGTAGCTGGGACCACAGGTGCCCGCCACAACACCTGGCTATTTTTTGGTTGCAGCCATCGTTGTTTGGCGGGCCTGGGCTGGATTCGAACCCACCACCTTAGGTGTATGTGGCTGGCGCCTTAGCCACTTGAGCCACAGACGCCGAGCCCTTTATTTCTTTTTGATTTTGTTTTGTTCTTGGTTGCTAAACCTTTAAATGGATGATTTATAGGCCCGAGTTTGTAATAGCTGATGGGAGGCCAGACTCTCCTTTCCAGCCTTATTTGTTACTACTCTGAGAGTGTCTAGTTTTTATATAAAAATAAGGTAAACAGCTTAGCAGATAAAAGACATGTTATTTGCAAAGAAAAAACGGTTTTGGCTGTCTGGTATTTTCTTAAGTTATATTTATTCAACACTTCTGCCCCACTTTTTTTTTTTTTTTTTTTGAGACAGTTTCTGCTGTGGTGTCATCATAGCTCCCAGCAACCTCGAACTCTTGGGCTTGAGAAACTCTGTTGCCTCAGCCTCTCACTTAGCTGGGACTACAGGTGTGTGCAGCGTACAAACACGCACAGCTAGTTTTTTTCTATTTTTATTAGAGACTGGGGCTCACTCTTGCTCAGGCTGGTCTCAAACTCCTGAGCTCAAGCAGTCCTCCCACCTGGGCCTTTTAGAGTGCTAAAATTACAGGCATGGGCCACTGCACCTTGCCTTTATGTACATTTTTTTAAAATTTACTAGATTAGTTCTATTTTTATACTATGATTTTGGAGTACTTTTAATTTACTAACATTTCAGCTAAACACAGGATAGACATAAATGTGCAATTTAAAATAGTTTAACATAGTAAGTAACTTCTCCACAGACTTCATGGACACCCTGTATATAAAACTTTTTCCTGTTATAAATATGATAGGAAATGGTTCTGTTGTGGATTGCATAGTTGGTAGAGGCAGGTGGAGAGTGTTTTCAAGGACTCAGGATATACATGGAAAGGAACAAGAATGATAGTATTTGAGGAGCGTTTCCTACTCTGGGCTGATTATTCAGAGGAGTTGATATCATGAGTGCCAGATATTAACATAAGAGATTTATTGGCTATGTGGGTGTCCATGTAAAAGGATAGAACATGATGCTAGAGTGATAGGTTAGCAACAGCATTTGGGATGAGTATATATGAGCCTGATGATTGATTTGAGGGTGTTGAATGGTTACAGGAGAATAGACTAGGGGTGCCTTAAGGGACTTTTGAGCCTTAGAGAAAAATATATTGAGATTTTGAGTTGGAGTACAGTCTGGATCAGTGGTTCTCAACCTTTCTAATGCTGCAACCCTGTGATTACAGTTCCTCATGTTGTGGTGACCCCAACCATAAAATTATCTTTATTGCTACTTCATAACTGTAATTTTGCTACTGTTATGAATTGTAATGTAAATATCTGATATGCAGGATGTATTTAGGCAGCCCCAGTAAAAGGGTTGTTCTCAACCCCCAAAGGGGTCGTGACCCACAGGTTGAGAACTGCTGGTCTAGATGTTCATAAGAAGAAGAGTAAGTTGATTCAGATGTAAGGGTGAAGGTTGCATTTCTGGCTGTGCCACTAAACCGTGTGGTCTTGAGCAAGTTAGAGACCTTAACTCTTTTGGATTTTTGTTTTCTCACTTTTGTAAGAAAGACTTGTCCTAAATCAGTGGTTTTCAACCTTCCTAATGCCACGTCCCTTTAATACAGTTCCTGTGGGTCAAGACCCACAGGTTGAAAACCACTGTCCTAAATTAATTATGTCTCAAACTGTTTCATAGAGCCACTTCAGATAATGAAAGGAGAATCAAATGGCTGAGCCTTAGGTCTTCTTTTGTTTCGAAAACAACTTTCAATACTTATGTATGATTTCATTTGGAAAAAGGATTGTTTAAGAATTAGAAAATCGGGCAGTGCCTGTGGCTCAAAAGGTTAGGGCGCTACCATATGCCAGACGTGGCGGGTTCAAACCCAGCACTGGCCAAAAAAAAAAAAAAAA